CTGGTTGCAAGTTTTCTTGCAAAGGAGGTATAATCCGTATCCTATCCATACCTTCAACATACCTGGTAATGTCTGAACTTGGTTAGGTGCCTGTGAATGAGGTAAACGCTGCTGGAAAGCAGCGTGGTGGCTACCCAAAGACTGCTGTTGATTTACAAGACCTTCTTTAGTAGACAACTGATGGCTTTTCTGTGCTTCTCTATAAGATGAATGAGTCATGTGCAGATGCTGAATGAAAACTGAATGAGAAACCTGGCTTGGTGTTAGATATGATCGTGAAAACTGTGTAGATAAAGTGGGGGGGGGTGGATCTGGGCCTGTGAGGAGGCCTGTTGAATGAAGGACATCTGCGCAGGATGCTGAAGTTGTCCTTCCATGGCCCTCTGACATGTAATGCTAATTGAGTGGGTTTTTAGCTGCTGGTGTCTAAAACCAACATCTGCTTGTGATGCAGCTGCTGAGTACTGGACATTAAGATTAATGTTAAAAATGTCTTTTGCTCCAACTTTGAAGAATTACCACCTTAGGGTTGTGTTAAATAGATTTGTTCATCAGAAGTCTGTACTACATAAGGTGGTACGGAGTGTAACTTCTGATCTGCAGCATTTGCAATATGTATGTGCTTGTTATCGGTAGGGTTTACTGTGTATACTTGCTGAGTTATGTAGGTTGCCTGTTCAGTTGTCTAGATGGTGTAAGCAATTTGTGCTGAATAATGGGCATGCTCAAGTGGCAGTGCCCAGTAAGCAAACTGTTCTATAGATTGCACAGAGTAAGCTGCTTGGATCATATATGCTGGCTGGTCTGGAAAAGCTGACAAAACCTGAGGTTGCACTGGAAAAGCAGGATGCCCTTAGGCTTGAGCCAAATAAGAGGCCTGTACCACAGGCAGGAATGGATAAGAAGTCTGCACAGAATGAGTTGACTGTGAGCCTGGTGGTTGTACAGTACAAAGAAGATATTCTGGGGCTGGCAGTGAATAAACACACTGTGCTGTAGCCTGGATTGGGTAAATTGGCTATGATGGCTAAAAAGCTTGTTCTGGGGATGTATCACAAATGGCAGCTGCCCAGGAGCCTTCAATGGGAAGGATGGCAGTTCTGCAGGTGGCCCTGGAAAAGTGTGTTGAATGGAGTAAGAGGGTCATTGCAGGGACTGAATCACACTTTTAATATCACCTTTTCACTGCTGCTGACTTGCATGAGCTTCAGACACTCTCAGAATACAATCCCACTGCACAATTTTTTGTAGTGATGCCATAATCTTAGGTTGTAAAATTAATGGCTGCTGCTGACTAGAGGCTTGGAAACAAGGTTTCTTCAAATACACAGTCTGGCTTTGTGGCACTGAAGAACCTAGAGTCTCCTAGACTCCTGATGTACTACGGGGTATGGGTGGGGTACTAAATATATCTTTTGTGAAGGCTAATTGGCCCCTGAATGCCCCCCAGTGGAATTAGAAGGGAGCTGAACTGTACCAGCAGCCTTCTGTGCACTGCTCATGTATTGTGCAGAATTATTTGACAAAGCTTGAGAACAGTTAACCAATAATAAACTAGAATTCTGGGGGTGCCTGGGTGATTCAGTTGGTTAAGCATCCGACTCTTGATTTCAGCTCAGGTCATGATCTCAGAGTTGTGAGATTGAGCCCCACATCGGGCTCCATACTGGGCATGGAACCTGCTTGGGATTCTCTCTCTCCCCCACCCTTTCTTTCTCTCTCCCTCTGCCCCCCCCCC